GCCTATGTTTATTATTACTAGGGCTAGAGTAGACCCTGGATTAGCAATGATTCCATCCAACTCCAAAGAGATCCTTGCAAATATCATTGGGCAAACACCATGTAATTAGCTCGTTTTAATAGAGCAAATAAACATAAGATTAATCAATAAAAGTAAACTTCTGCAGATTTAAACAGAAAAATCTAGGGAGAGCAACAACATTGGTAACTTTAGGAAAAAGGAATTTTATTAGCAGATGATTTTAAACTGCATGGATTTCTCCTTGATATTCACACTGTTTTGTAGATTGTGCATTTTTCTGGAGAGCAGATCTGTAGCTTTTGTTAAATTATCAAAGGAGTCTGACTTTTAAAAGGTTAAGAATTTATAGTAATACAGGATGGGAGGAAAGGCATGTTGGCACAGTTTCAGGAAGGAGCAAGTGATAATAGGGACTGGGCATAGGAAGAACTGAAAAGTGAACAAAATGTATCTATTTCATTTCTGGTCTTTCTGGTTATCCTCTTGTGCTTTCTTTCCAAAGGAGATTTAGAACGATTTCTTTTTTTACATTTATTTATAGATAGGAAAAGCTCTGATTTAAGATACTATAATTCCTTTGTTTTAGCCCTGAGTCTAACTAGCCCCAAATACCTGTACCCAAACTCTTGGACATTTTGTGGGGGTAGTGGACTTTGCCTTTCATTGGAAGGTTGGGAAACACTCAGATTTTAGGTGCTGTTATCTTCATGACAAACATGTAGAAAAACATGCTCCTCTATGATTCTTTCCATGGCTTTTTAATGCTGTTTCTTATGTTTCTTTTCTCAAGAAAATGTTTTCATAATCACAGAAACTCTCTGAGCTTAACTTTTCTAATCTATAAAATGGAGATAAAAAGGAAAATTGGCATAAGCTCCCAACACCTATTAACAGGAAGGGTTCATGGCAGTACTCTAAAACCACTAGAAACATACTATTGTCCTTTAGAACTCTACTGTCTTAGACATTCATGCCTTTCCATTGGAATACCAACTTCTCTGCAGTTTTCTCTAACCAACCCTGCATCTTAGTTTCACTCCCTCAAAATTGAAGTTGGGACCATGTGATTACTGCATCTAAGTCTGCTGCCTTTGGCTTCTGTAGTGGGTTTTAGATCCTGCCTCCCCATCTCTCTTAGGATTCCTTCAGAAGAGGAAGAGTGCTTTGATACTAACGAGCCCAAAAGACAAATAGCTAGCTATCCATTTAATTCAGTTCTTAGGCAGCTTCTTTCTTGCTTAACCCTGTTTTAAATTGTAATTCCCTAATGATATATGATGTTGAACATCTTTTTATGGGGTTACTTGCTATCTGTATATCTTCTTGGGTGAAGTATCTGTTAGTGTATTATGCCCATTTTAAAATCAGGTAGTGTATTTTCTTACTGTTGAATTTTAGGAGTTCTTTGGGTATTTTGGAGAACAGTTCTATATGAGATGTGTCTTTTGCAAATACCTTTTCCCAGTGTGTGGCTTATCTTCTCATTGTTTTGATATGACCTGTCAGAGAACAATTTTTAATTTACTGAAGTCCAGCTTATCAGCTACTTTCATGAATTGTGCCTTGGTGTTGTGTCTGAAAAGTCCTAATCATATCCAAGGTCTTCTGAATTTTCTCCTGTGTTATCTTCTAGACATTTGTTATCTTCATGATTTTGTGTTTTACATCTAGGTCTATGATCCCTTTTGAGTTAATTTTTGTGAAGGTCTCTTGGTTCTTCTTTTTCCCCCCATGTACATGTCCAATAGTTATAGCCCCATTTGTTGAAAAAGCTGTTGTTGCTCCATCATATTGCCTCTGCTCCTTCGTCGAACATTAGTTGACTGGGGCGCCTTGCTGACTCAGTTGGTGGAGCATGTGTCTCTCGGGGTTGTACGTTTGAGACCCACATTGGATGCAGAGGTTGCTTAAAAATAAAATCTTAAAAAAAATTTGGTTGACTATATTTATGTGGGTCTATTTCTGGCTCTCTGTTCCATTGATCTATTTGTTCTTTTGCTAAAATCATACTGTCTTGATTACTATTAGCTTTATAATAAGTCTTGAAAGTTGGGTAGTATTGAATCTCAGTATCGAGTTGGCTATTGTGGATCTTTTGTTTTTCCATATAAACTTTACAATCAGTTTGTTCATATCCACAAGATAACTTGCTGGGATTTTTTTTTTTTTAAAGAAAGGGACTGTATTTTACTGTATTTTGAAAATAACCAATGAATGCAGGAATGAGTGACATTTTAAAGGTTAGTAGACTATGATTGTCAGAATTCTGTTTAATTACATAGTTACAGTTCATCACATGATAATACAAATATAAGGAAATCATAGTGCTAACAATATTGAATAACTCATGGGTAAAAACCATCAATTTAGATGTTCAAAATCTCAGTCCTGCAAAATTGTGGTGTAAAGTAGTATTTTTGAACTGCTTTTTTTTTTTAAGATTTTATTTATCAATTCATGAGAGACACACAGAGAGAGAGGCAGAGACACACAGGCAGAGGGAGAAGCAGGCTCCATGCACGGAACCCAACATGGGACTCCATCCCTGGTCCCCAGGATCACGCCCTGGGGCAAAGGCGGTGCTAAACCGCTGAGCCACCCGGGCTGCCCCTTGAACTGTTTGTTTTAAGTGATGGAGGAAATTTTAATATTAACTTGCTGTGATTTTGATTAGGATTGTATTTGAGTCTCTAGGTCAAGTTGGAAAGAATGGACATCTTGACGATATTGAGTCTTTCTGTCCATGAGCATGGGTTATTTCTCTAATCACTTCTTTGATATCTTTCATCAGAGTTTTGTAGTTTTCCTCATCTAGATTTTGTACTTATTTTGTTAGATTTATACCTAAGTATTAAAAAAATTTTTTTTTGGTGCTAATGTAAATGATAAGTGTGGTTAAATTTTTTTTTTAAGTAAGCTCTACACCCCATGTGGGGCTTGAACTCATGACCCTGAGATGTTGATATGCTCTACCAACTAAGCCAGCCAGGTACCCTTGTTTTGTACAGTTTTAAATGTGGGTTTTTGATTTTTTTAATACGGAGTTGTGAGATTTTTTTCTTACAATTTTATCAGTCTGATCATACTGACCATACAAATATTTCCTCCTAAACTTGCTTTTCTTTTTTTTTTTTTAAGATTTTATTTAGAGAGAGAGGCAGAGACACAGGCAGAGGGAGAAGTAGGCTCCCAGCAGGGAGCCTGATGGGGGACTTGATCTCTGGACCTGGGATCACACCTTGAGCCAAAGGCAGACGCTCAACCACTGAGCCACCCAGGCACCCCAACTATTTTCTTTTTTAAGCTTTTACTCATTTACTTGAGAGAGCGAGAGAGAGAATGCATGTATGAGCGGGGGGAAGAGGGAGAAAGACAATCTCAAGCAGACTCCATGCGTATTGTGGAGCTGGATGTGGGGCTTGATGCCCTGACCCTGAGATCACAACCTGAGCTGAAATCAAAAGTTGGAAGCTTAACCAGTTGAGCCACCCAGATACCCCATACTTGCCTTTTTAACACTTCCTTGAATACACGTTTTAAATTCTCAGTCTAGTCTATCCATTTTTTTTAAAAGTTCATGATTTTTATATTCAATTTAAGAAATATTTGCCTAGCCCAAGATCACTAAGATTTTCTGTTTTCTTTTAGATATTTTATAGTTTCAGTCTATTTAGTTCTATTCATGAATCATTTCAAGTTTTGCATTTGGTATGAAGTGTAAGGATAATATATAGATTATATTTATATATTTCATATATATTTCAATTTTGTTGATCTGTGTCTATTTTTATGCCAATGCCACACTGTCTAGATTACTGTAGTTTTACAGTAAGTCTTAGATTAAATGAAATCATTAAAAAATACTTAGGAAGAGGAATTGATGTGAGACTACAAGGGGCAGTCCAGTGGGAAACATACTTTGATTCAAAATAGATTTTAGCGTTAGGTGTTGCCTGAAAGTGGAGAGAGTCTTGTAAAAATGTACTGAATTACCCATCTCGTGGATGTATTGGGCAGGGCTTGGATGTCAGCTAAGGTGGAGCTTTGAACTGTAATGTAGCACAAGGAGAGTGGCAGGTCTGTACTCTTAAGTATTGTTTTTAGGCATTGTCTTGGGATTTCCTTTTCTCCCCCCACCCCTGCACACTTAGTCCTAATCTTCATTGATGGGAAAATACTTGGTGTTTACTGGAATTTAGCAGTTCTCCTGCATCTTTGTGGTCTTTGACCTTTTCTAGAAGCTGGCATGCTACAATCCTAGTGTGGGATTCTTTTGCAATTCTTCACTGATGTTTTGTAAATAGCTCTTTGTGGTCATTTGGATAGGAGCTTCTCTTGTTATCTTATTATTCCTAGAAGAAATTACTTCTCATCCTTGTTTAAGACCTATTATCTAAATCTGGACTATTGAACTCTTCTTTTGGTATAAATGAAATGGAGGGAGTTTCTATGATGGGCTTTTTTTTTTTTTTAATTTATTCATGAGAGACACAGAGAAAGAGTCAGAGACATAGGCAGAGGGAGAAGCAAGCTCTCTGCGGGGAGCCTGATGTGGAACTCAATCTTAGGACCCCAGGATCACAACCTGAGCCAAAGGCAGCCGCTCACCCACTGAGCCACCCAGGTGCCCTTCTATCATGGGCTTTAAATGAAAAACATATATAACTTAAACCATAGATATGTGACATGAAACTGGTTGCTGGCCATAGGAGTAATTTAATTTCCTCTGCCTCTTTGTCAAGAGGCTATAGGAGATTTCTGCATTGAGGATGAGCTTAGATTGGATTACTCATGAAGGGCCCTTCTAACTTTTTGCCTTCAAGCTTTGTTCGGAGGTCCCAGCTTCTTTTCTCTTAGACTTAGACTTACAAATCTAGTTCTAACTCTAATCTTGGCATATAGTGGGTGCTAAAGAAAAGTTTGCTTAGTTAATGAATTTGCAAAAGTTCTTTATGGTGTCCTCTTTTTTTCTCTTGCAGTTAAAAGAGCCAAATTTCAGGGTTCACCAGGTAAGGCCAGTCTTTAATTATTATGTCTTTTTCCTTCATACTTGCTGTGATTTTTTTTTTTTTACTTGCTGTGATTTAAAATCAATCTTTTTTTTTAATGTTTTATTTATTTATTTGAGAGAGACAGGGAGAGAGAGAGAGCGAGCGCATGTGCACCCAGCAGAAGGAGAGGGTAGAAGCAGGCTCCCCCGCCCAGGTGGGAGGCTGTTGTGGGGCAATTCCAGAACCCTGAGATCATGACCTGAGCCAAAGGCAGATGTTTAACCAACTGAAACACCCAGTTGCCCCTAAAAATCAATCTTTTAAACAGTCATTAAGGGGTGCTTCCTTGGCTCAGTTATTTAGGTGTCTGCCTTCAGCTGGAGTGGTGATCCTGGGGTTTTGGGATTGAGCCCTGAGTCTGACTCCCTGCTGGCGAGGAGCCTGCTTCTCCCTCTCCTCCTACATGTCATTCCCCTTGCTTGTGCTCCCTCTCTCTGTCAAATAAATGAATGACTGAATGTTTAATCAGTCATTAATTTCATTTAATTCACTGATTACATAAATTCACAAAATTTATTGTTAAAAATCAATATAGAAAGATGTGGTCAAGGGGTACAAAGTTTCAGTAATGCAAAGTGAATAATTTCTGGAGAATTAACATATAGTGTGTTCATAATTAATGAGTATGGTATACTTGGAATTTGCTAAGAGGGTAGATCTCAAGCTGTCAATGTATACACACACTTTAAAGGAAAATGGTAATTATGTGAGTTGTGATGACTATATTAATTAGGTTGATTATGGTGGTTGTTTAGCAATATATATCAAATCAGGTTGTACACTTTAAATACATACAATTTTAAATTGTCAATTATACCTCAATAAAGCTGGAAAAAATCAATGCTATTGTAAAACATTAAGGAAATCTATCTCTATATCTAGTGAAAACTTAAAGTCCCCTTACTTTTTGGACAACTCAATTCTACTTCTCAGCAGTAACTATTTAGAGGTTTGTGTATACCTTCTCAGGTTTTGTCTGTGCATAAGCCTATATAAACAAATAGATTAACTTTGTTTGACCTGCTTTTATTCCAACAGATCACTTTGAGTGTGTATGGGTACATATATCTAGTTCTTCCTTTTATTTTTATTTCTTTATCTCAAGTTAACTTTGAGGGCATCTAGGTGGCACTTTGGTTAAGTTTCTGACTCTTGGTTTCAGCACAAGTCATGATCTCAGCATTGTGAGATTGAGCCCCACATCATGCTCCATGCTCAGCATCATGTACTGGGTTTCTTTCTTCCTCTTTTTCTACCTTTCTTCCTGCATGTGTGCTCACTTTCTCTCTCTCTCTCAAATAAATAAATCTTTTTTTAAAAGATTTTATTTATTTATTCATGAGAGACACACAGAGAGAGGCAGAGACACAGAGGGAGAAGCAGGCTCTCCACAGGGAGCCCAATATGAGACTTGATCCCAGGATCGCAGGATCACGCCCTGGGCCAAAGGCAGACGTTCAACTGCTGAGCCTCCCAGGCATCCCTCAAATAATTAAATCTTAAAAAGAAAAAAAAAAGTTAACCTTCTGCCCAGTGTGGGATTGGAACTCATGATTCTGAAGTCAAGAATCCCATGCCCTACCAACTTGAGCCAGTCAGGAACCCCTCTGCTTCTTTCTTTTTAAGTGTACAGAATTTTGTTATAAATTTGTACCCTAGGTTCCTGATTGATGAATATTTAGGTTGTTTCCATTTTTTTTTACTATTAGAAGCAATACATGTTTTTGTGCATTTATCACTATCTGCTTTTGCAAGTGTATTTATACACTAGAATCCAAAAATAGAGAATTGCTGGGCCAAAGGTATGCATTTAAAAACAAAATATGGTAGCTGCTGCCACATTGTATTTCTGAAAGTTTTGGGAAGATTATACTTAAAGTATATATAATTGTTTATTCAAACCCTTATCAATATTAGGTAGTATGAAATTTTTTAATCTAAAATTTTTTAAAAAATGAATGTAGTTGACATACAATGTTATAGTTGGTGGCGTACAACATAGTGATTGTAAAGTATATACATTATGCTGTGCTCACAGGTGTAGCTACCATCTGTCACGATATGATATATCACGGTACCATTGACTATATTCCTTTTGCTGTGCCTTTTATTCCTGTGACTTATTCATTCCATTACTGGGAGCCTCTGTCTCTCACTCCCCATTTTACCCTTCCCCATTCCTCTGGCAACCATCAGTTTATTCTGTTTTTGTAGGTCTGATTCTGCCTTTTTTTTTTTAAAGATTTTATTTATTTATGAGAGAGAGCGAGAGAGAGAGAGAGAGAGAGAGAGAGAGAGAGTGCATGTGTGCGCAAGTGAAGGGAGAGGAGGGGCAGAAGGAAAAGCAGACTCCCTACTGATCAGGGAGCCCAAAGCAGGGCTTGATCCCAGGACCTGGGAATCTTGACCTGAGCTGAAGGCAGATGCTTAACCGACTGAGCCACCCAAGCACCCCTACTTTTCTTTTTTAAAGATTTATATATTTAAGAGAGAGAGGGTGAGTACACAGTGTGGGAGGGGCAGAGAGAGGGGGAGAGAGAATCCTAAGCAGACTCCTTCTGAACATAGAAGCTGTGGGTATGTGGGCTTGATCTGACCTGCTGAAATCAGAAGTCAAATGCTAAAAGGACTGAGCCACCCAGGTGTCCCACTATTGCTTTTTATGTAAGTTGTGGCTTAGTCCAGCCTTAATAGATCAAGCTTTGAATCTCTTTCCTTTATGAGGACCTTTTCTCAATTCTTGTCCCTGTCAACAGCTAAAGGTAACCCTTTCCTCTCTGATCCTTTACCACTTTTCTCTTTCTCTTATGATACTTATTTCTATTTTATTTTATATATTTTTAAAGATTTTATTTGATAGATTTATTTCATCATTTTATTAACTTTTCTACTAGATCAGTTAGATTTTTTTTTCAAACTGAATATGGGCTATAAAATCAATTTGGTTGTGATTAATGTAATAGTTTAAATAAATTAGAATAGGAAATACCAATGATCACATCTTGTATTTCATGAACTTTTGTTTTCATTTGTGTGTATGTGTGTCTACAGGGTCAAATATTTATCTCTAAAATTTGGAAAACTATTAAAGCCTATGCTTTTGAGACTAGAATGTGTTTTATAACTTTTTATAGCTCTGCATGCTTAGAATGATGCCATATGGTACACAATATAGTTTTATATTTTTCTTCAACATATAATACTTTAGTTTGGGTTACTCAATTCCAAAGGTTTTGTGGGATTGAGTAACAATCTGAGCACTAAGTATTACATCTTCATTTTGCATTTTTTTTAAAGATAAATTTAACACATATGTGACCCTGAAAGTGCAGAATGTGAAGAGCACAACTGTAGCAGTTCGTGGTGATCAACCTTCTTGGGAACAAGATTTTATGTTGTAAGTATTTTGCAGCAGCAGCCTACAATATTCTTTATGAAAACTATAGAGTTGCCGGAACAAGTGAGATGTGAGGTGGGTGAAGTACATCTGCAGTTTTGTTCTTTCCTGGATGTGTAATTGATTCTACATTATGTGAATTATGAATACAAGTAAACTCCCAATTCATTTATGTGGGTAAATACACTGTCTAGTAAGATTTTCCCAGTGGTCAGAATTAGGATATAGTACAATATACTTGGCATGATATTAAACATAATTTAAATCTTTGATTCTCAGAAGGTTCCTTGAAGGAATGTGGTTATGTGTGTGTGTGTGTGTGTGTGTCTGTATGTATGTGTGTGTTTGAGAGAGAGAAAATTTGAGTGTGTGCATGTATGTATACCCAGGTTACCTGCTATAGAAGATGAGGATTTCTGTGCTTTAGATCTTTTTACTTTATGGAGTGAAATGTCATACTTTCTCTAATTAATAAAAATGAGTGACCACTAATAGAATTTCTCACATATAACACAAAATGTAGTATATTATGATTGTAAGCTCTGGCTTTAAAAACTTGACACTTCTTTTTTTCCTCTGAAGTTTCAGGAATTTTTTTCTACTCTAGAAAAGGGGAGAAAAATGTAGAATATCATTCTGAAAGACTATACAAATCATTGAGCTTCTCTGAGTGGCAGTTACTTTACCTGTAAAGGTCTATCTTTTTTATGAGGTTATGCTTGTTTTCTGGGAAGTTAGGCATAAGAGTGCCAAACAAGAAAATGTATTAAAATTGCTGTGAGTTTTGAAATGGAAGTGAAATTGCTTTCCAAGTTTTGTGGTGCATCTCAGAGGCACATAGAGATGATTATTTTCATGTAGATTCCTTCCAGTCCTTTGGGCTTTTTTTATTATTATTATTATTATTATTATTATTATTTTTTCCTTTGGGCTTTTAATATATTGCTTCTTATAGTACCATTTAAGAAACTACATTATAAGTAGTTAAAGGGTAACATTATGAGGGACAGTACCAGAAGCTATAGATAGAAAAGGATGGAAAGAAGGTGTTGAGGAGGTAGATTTGTCTTGCATAATTGGGTAGTTGTTGTGCTAGTTATTAGGATAGGGGACAACATAAGATCAGTAATGAATAAGCTTATATTTGAGGTTCTTACAGGACTGGTAGGAAGAGAGGTACAGAAGATAGTTAGGGACTTGAATCTGGCACTCAGGAAGGAAGTCCTGGATTGGAGAAATATTTTGGTCAGTTGGAGCTGTAGGCTTAGATGAGGAAGTTTAGGGAGAGTGTGAGTAAATTGAGAACAGGGCCTGGGGTAAAGCCTGGAGGGCACCAGCATTTAAAGTGGGACAGAGGGGATCCCTGGGTGGCGCAGCAGTTTGGCGCCTGCCTTTGGCCCAGGGCGCGATCCTGGAGACCCGGGATCGAATCCCACGTCGGGCTCCCGGTGCATGGAGCCTGCTTCTCCCTCTGCCTGTGTCTCTGCCTCTCTCTCTCTCTCTCTCTCTCTCTCTCTCTCTCTCTCTCTCACTGTGTGCCTATCATAAAAAAAAAATTTAAAGTGGGACAGAGGGGGCTAAAAAGGAATGAACAGAGAGAGAGAAGGGGAAACAGGAAACAAAGAACTAGGGCTTCAAGAAGAAAGAGGGCTAGTGTTGTCAACATTTCTCCACTGCTTGCCTCTCAAGATTATAAACCTCGTTCATTCCCTTTCTCAGTTACAGTGACATGAGAGTAAGACTGTGTGTTCCTTTCTCTATACCTGTAATGGCAAAGTCAGCTATGAGTGGTTTATTCAAGTCTCTTCCCATGGCTATTGACATATAAAATCCAGCAATCCAACTTTCTTCTGACTTCCAGTTGGCAATAATAATCACTTACTGTTACAATTGTTCCATTGTGTGAAACCTAGTGATCTTCTACAGCCTCTCATCAGCATAGCTAGCTCTTTATTCTTATGTGCTTATTTTTCAATTTCCCATAGCACTTCCTCTTTCAACCCTTCTGTGATTGTGTGAATTTTTTTCGTCTCCCACCTTGACTTTGCTCTCTCCTGTTACACATAGATTTTATTAGCTACATTTTCCTTTTATGCTCCTATTCCTTATTCCTCCTACTCTATTCTTTTGTCACTGGCAACTCCATTGCTGGTCTCTTGTCTCCCTTTCTCCTTTTTTCTTTCTTCTGATATATTATGTGGCAGTATCTAATACTCAGTTTTGTATTTCTCATTATTTATCTTTAATATTTCTGTATCTTATTTCCAGGACTAGATTATTCATTTAAGGGAAAGTAGGGCATCTTTACTTACTGTGAATTTGCCTAGCCCAAAATGTTGTATATGTTTATGCACATATATTATTGATTGATTCATAGAGGATAGGAGTTCCCCAGAGCTCTGGGGGATGATGCATAAAGAGAGAGCTCTCAGACTACTACTACTACTACTACTACTACTACTACTACTACTACTACTTCTTCTTCTTCTTCTTCTTTCTTCTTTTCTTCTTTCTTCTTCTTTCTTCTTCTTCTTCTCCTCCTCCTTCTTCCTTTCTCCTTCTTCCTTTCTCCTTCCTCCTTTCTCCTTTCTCCTTTCTCCTTCCTCCTTCCTCCTTTCTCCTTCCTCCTTCCTCCTTCCTCCTTCTTCCTTCTTCCTTCTTCCTTCCTCCCTTCCTTCCTCCTTCCTCCTTCTTTCCAAGATTTTATTTATTTATTCATTCCTGAGAGACAGAGAGAAGCAAGGAGCCTGATGTGGGACTCAATCCTAGACCCTGGGATCACAGCCTGAGCTGAAGGCAGATGCTCATCCACTGAGTCACCCAGGCGTCCCATCTCAGACTTCTTTTAAATTGGGCCTGGTGAACACACATAGATGAGATAAGATGCTTCTACTTACTTACTTACTTACTTACTTACTTACTTACTTACTTACTTACTTTATTTATTTATTTATTTATTTATTTATTTATTAAATTTATTTTTTTATTGGTGTTCAATTTGCCAACATATAGAATAACACCCAATGCTCATCCCATCAAGTGCCCATCTCAGTGCCTGTCACCTAGTCACCCCCACCCCCCGCCCACCTCCCCTTCCACCACCCCTAGTTCATTTCCCAGAGTTAGGAGTCTTTCATGTTCTGTCTCTCTTAGGTAAAGAAGCTTCTTACAGAAGATATCCTCATTGTTTGGGTTTTATTCCCCAGAGCTCCCTAAGAACTTTTTTTCTATCCAATTCAAGCTGTAAAGACCTCTGGCTGTTTCTTTCATCTATTGGCTTGAGATGTTGCTTAGGACTTACTTGAGGAACATTATGTATGTATTCCAGTTTTTTTCTTTTCCAGATTCAAAAGATTTGGGATTGTCAGATGTCTTTTTCAGGGCTAACTGATTAATTAGGTTGAATGAAACTATGACAAAAGCTTAGTTTTCTCACACTGTGAACACCTTAACTTACTGGCTGGGTTTAGTCACCTACTTTGTGGCATTGAACAGCTCTCAAGATAGCTTGGAAGGTTTTAGAAAAAGGAACTGGGTCCTATACCGTGTATTTTGCTCAAAGTACCAAACCATACATATTATATGTGCTGAGGAAACATTAATTAAGTGAACTCATTAGTACATTCTCTGTTCTATTGTATTTATGTAAAAGGGGTGGATTTTCTTTGCTTCACTTGTTTTCAACACACTTAATGAGAAGTCTATGGCTGTTATACCATATATTAAACTTGTGAATCTGAGAACATGTATCTTACTAGAACAGGGAAACCAAGCTTTCTCTAAAGTGTGAACTTGAAACTTCATGTGATGAATAGCTGTTGTCTCCCTGAGAATACCTTTCTGCTTTTTCTGCTAGAATTGGCCTTTTCTCATCTTTCTCGGATTCCCTTTCAAATAATCTTATATTTCAATTAGAGCTTTCTGGGGGATGTTTTTAGCATAATATAAGTGTTTACTTGTTCCACTCTAAGACTGTAATTACGTTTGATTTGGCCCTTCCGCTGATATTCCACCATGTATGATGTTGCTTTTGCTTAGTAGTTATGTCGCTCTTTCTGGAATGATTTTCTTTCTTCTTTCTTTCTTTCTTTCTTTCTTTCTTTCTTTCTTTCTTTCTTTCTTTCTTTCTCTTTTTTTTAAAATTCTGTTTTGTCTTTTTATTATTTTTATTTATTTATTTTTAATTTATTTATGATAGACATAGAAAGAGAGAGAGGGGGGCAGAGACACAGGCAGAAGGAGAAGCAGGCTCCATGCTGGGAGCCTGATGTGGGACTCGATCCTGGGGCTCCAAGATCAGGCCCTGGGCTTTTCTTTCTTTCTTTCTTTCTTTCTTTCTTTCTTTCTTTCTTTCTTTCTTTCTTTTCTTTCTTTCTTTCTTTCTTTCTTTCTTTTTTCTTTCTTCTTTCTTATTATTTTTAATAATAAATTTATTTTTTATTGGTGTTCAATTTGCCAACATACAGAATAACACCCAGTGCTCATTCCATCAAGTGCCCACCTCAGTGCCCGTCACCCAGAACCCCCCCCCCCCGCCCACCTCCCCTTCCACCACCCCTAGTTCATTTCCCAGAGTTAGGAGTCTTCCATGTTCTGTCTCCCTTTCTGATATTTCCCACTTATTTTTCCTCCTTTCCCCTTTATTCTCTTTCACTATTATTTACATTCCCCAAATGAATAAGACCATAGACTCTGGCTGCCCCCCACCCCAGATAAACACTGTATTTCATTCTCTACTCATCAGTTATGAACTTCACTGCCAGTGGCCGGATGATTTAAGTTTGGGAGTTGGGGAGTGAGGCCCTTACTGAAGGTATGGCCTTGACTCTGTAGCCTAAAGTAGTTAATTAGTCGGTGGGAGAAGCCAGGAGCAAACCAGAGATCTGGTACAGAAAGGAAGGGATATTTATTAACAGGAGTTGTCTTTTCAAAAGCTTTTATTTTTGGCAATAAAGAGCACAACATAATCTCCAAAAAAAAAGAAATGTTTGTCCTCCGATTGACTTATTTCACTCAGCATAATACCCTCAGTTCCATCCACGTCAAAGCAAATGGTGGGTATTTGTCGTTTCTAATGGCTGAGTAATATTCCATTGTATACATAGACCACATCTTCTTTATCCATTCATCTTTCGATGGACACCGAGGCTCCTTCCACAGTTGGGCTATTGTGGACATTGCTGCTAGAAACATCGGGGTGCAGGTGTCCTCGCGTTTCATTGCATCTGTATCTTTGGGGAAAATCCCCAGCAGTGCAATTGCTGGGTCATGGGGCAGATCTATTTTTAACTCTTTGAGGAACCTCCACACAGTTTTCCAGAGTGGCTGCACCACTTCACATTCCCACCAACAGTGCAAGAGGGTTTCCTTTTCTCCGCATCCTCTCCAACATTTGTGGTTTCCTGCCTTATTAATTTTCCCCATTCTCACTGGTGTGAGGTGGTATCTCATTGTGGTTTTGATTTGTATTTCCCTGATGGCAAGTGATGCGGAGCATTTTCTCATGTGCTTGCTGGCCATGTCTATGTCTTCCTCTGTGAGATTTCTGTTCATGTCTTTTGCCCATTTCATGATTGGGTTGTTTGTTTCTTTGCTGTTGAGTTTAATAAGTTCTTTATAGATCTTGGAAACTAGCCCTTTATCTGATACGTCATTTGCAAATATCTTCTCCCATTCTGTAGGTTGTCTTTGAGTTTTGTTAACTGTTTCTTTTGCTGTGCAAAAGCTTCTTATCTTGATGAAGTCCCAATAGTTCATTTTTGCTTTTGTTTCTCTTGCCTTCATGGATGAATCTTGCAAGAAGTTACTGTGGCCAAGTTCAAAAAGGGTGTTGCCTGTGTTCTCCTCTAGGATTTTTATGGAATCTTGTCTCACATTTAGAACTTTCATCCATTTTGATTTTATCATTGTGTATGGTGCAAGAGAGTGGTGAAATACAGCATCCATTCCTGATCAAAACTCTTCAGAGTGTAGGGATAGAGGGACCATTCCTCAATATCTTAAAAGCCATCTACGAAAAGCCCACAGCAAATATCATTCTCAATGGGGAAGCACTGGGAGTCTTTCCCCTAAGATCAGGAACAAGACAGGTATGTCCACTCTCACCACTGCTATTCAACATAGTAATAGAAGTCCTAGCCTCAGCAATCAGGCAACAAAAGGAAATCAAAGGCATTCAAATAGGCAAAGAAGAAGTCAAACTCTCCCTCTTCGCCAGTGACATGATACTCTACATAGAAAACCCAAAAGCCTCCACCCCAAGAATGCTAGAACTCATTCAGCAATTTGGCAGTGTGGCAGGATACAAAATCAATGCCCAGAAGTCAGTGGCATTTCTATACACTAAGAATGAGACTGAAGAAAGAGAAATTAAGGAGTCAATCCCATGTACAATTGCACCCAAAAGCATAAGATACCTAGGAATAAACCTAACCAAAGAGTAAAGAATCTATACCCTAAAAACTACAGAACACTTCTGAAAGAAATTGAGGAAGACACAAAGAGATGAAAAAATATTCCATGCTCATGGATTGGCAGAATTAATATTGTGAAAATGTCAATGTTACCCAGAGCAATTTACACTTTTAATGCAATCCCTATCAAAATACCATGGACTTTCTTCAGAGAGTTGGAACAAATTATTTTAAGATTTGTGTGGAATCAGAAAGGACCCGGAATAACCAGGGGAATATTGAAAAAGAAAACCATAGGTGGGTGCATCACAATGTCAGATTTCAGTTTGTACTACAAAGCTGTCGTCATCAGGACAGTGTGGTACTGGCACAAAAACAGGCACATAGATCAATGGAACAGAATAGAGAATCCAGAAGTGGACCCTCAACTTTATGGTCAACTAATATTCGACAAAGGAGGAAAGACTATCCACTGGAAAAACGACAGTCTCTTCAATAAATGGTGCTGGGAAAATTGGACATCCACATGCAGAAGAATGAAACTGGACCACTCTCTTTCACCATACACAAAGATAAACTCAAAATGGATGAAAGATCTAAATGTGAGACAAGATTCCATCAAAATCCTAGAGGAGAACACAGGCAACACCCTTTTTGAACGCGATAGTAACTTCCTGCAAGATACATCCACGAAGGCAAAAGAAACAAAAGCAAAAATGAACTATTGGGACTTCATCAAGATAAGAAGCTTTTGGACAGCAAAGGGTACAGTCACAAAACTCAAAGACAGCCTACAGAATGGGAGAAGATATTTGCAAATGACATATCAGATAAAGGGCTAGTTTCCAAGAAGTATAAAGAACTTATTAAACTCAACAGCAAAGAAACAAACAATCCAATCATGAAATGGGCAAAAGACATGAAATGATTTCTTTAAAAAATTTTTTTTCCAAATTATTAAATGATTATAAAATCATTGTGTTTATCACTATCTTCTGACAAACATTTTGTTTATAAATGACAGTGTCTATTTTAACTGATAATTTCTAATGGGTTCTCCAGGAGCTGAGTGGAGTGAACCGGCACACTCTAGTGTCCCTTACCTGGCTCTGACAGCAAGTTCCTGTCAGACCTGGATCTTCTCAGGAGCCTTTTTACTTTTGCTTGAACCCCCTTTCATAAATCTTGTAAAGAAGCCTTGACTTTCCCTAAGTTTCCTATGTACAGTTTGTAAATGTTAATTGAGGGTAGTGTTACTATTAATAATAAATATATGAAACTTCTTAGGGTAGAAATTTTAGGCTTGCAGGCCTGGCAGTAATGCCCTCATTACTTACCCCCATTTGTGTGTGTGTGTGAAAATGCATTAATCTAACCATATTTGTAGCTCCAGAGGAGAGAGGATGGATGAACAAAGGAATTTTTTATGGATACTTAAATAGTTTTCTAGGAACCTAAAGAATGGTTGTAGCATTCTGGGACATTTTGGTTTTCCCCAAGAACAGGATCCTTGTGAGAAAGTATTCAAGGTTTAGCAAAACAGGAGATATAGATGTAGGAGATGTATATTGCATATTATCTGGCTTTTTTTTTTCAAGTTTTAGTTATTTTTAGTAATCTCTATACCCAACATAGGGCTCAAACTCACAACCCTGATACCAAGAGTCACATGTTCTTACTGAGCCTGCCTGGCATCCTTATCTGGCTTTCTTTTAAGGGCTTTCTTCTTTCCTTCAGTGAGATTAGTCGCCTGGACCTGGGTCTAAGTGTGGAAGTATGGAACAAAGGACTGATCTGGGACACCATGGTTGGGACTGTGTGGATTGCACTGAAGACTGTTCGTCAGTCGGATGAGGTCAGTCAATGCATTGTCAATTTGGAGGTACGGTTCTAGCCTATGCTTGTCCCCATCCTAGCTGCATTCAGCTAATATTCATCCATGCATCTTAGATTGTTCTGCCCCCCCCCTTTCTAATTAGTGAGCATGCAACCAGCCTATTGAGCATGAACCTCAGTCAGAGGTTCAATGGATTTTATTTAAGTCTTGTCTTCTCTCTGTCCTATGACTGAACTCAGAGGTTCCAGAACATTTTTTTAGCCATATCAGATAGATATCCCCTTCTCAGGACTGTGTGTGAGAGAAGGATAGAGGGATTGGAGGGAGAAGGAAAAAAGAGGGGGTATATGTTTGTGTATGTGATCTAGGATACCTGTGGTTTCTGCATTCCCCTCTAAGATACTATCCTGGGAGGGATCCCATTAAAATTCCTCAGCCTGGATCCTGTTCTCTTCTTTATTTCTTTGAATCACCAATTCCCAGGGAACTGGTTTCAATCTTCTGTCTTTCATATATAACCCTAACAGAGTTTAAGGAATTAATATGTGGGGCAATTGTTATTCATACTATCTCTATACATTATTCCAAGAGTGCTTTTCTACTTTATTTTCCCAGATCAAAACATAACTCAGCATCATTTCCCCGATAGACAGTTACTCTGAACTTGGAAAAAATGTATTGTATTCTTATTTGCCTTTAACATTGACTGCGTGTTTTCTCTAGGAGTATGGATATTGCAAGTGTGCCTCCCTTTCCTAAATTCTTTTAGTTCTGGCTAAGTCTCTACTTCCCCAGGCTGAGGGGTAGTTCATTTTTATTGTGGCTCCAGTTCAGGTGTACTTTAACTAGTAATGTTAGTAGCTCTTTACTGATTAGAAGTAGCAATACATATTAAGTGACACAGTCTTTAAAAATTGTGCAGATTAAATATTAATTTATGGAGATGTTTGGTTTTTGAGTTTGGTACTTCAAAATTCTATCTTCAGTGGTCTTTCAGAGAGCTGAGCAAAGTGATAGCTAATTGTCTACCAAAGAGGGAGAACAGAAACCACCTGGCTGTAGAAGCAGGTGGTGACAGTGGTATATTTGCCTCATCAGGATGTGAGTGGTCCCCAGGAGCTCTCCAATAAGGACATTCAGAGAAAAACACCAGCTCTTAAACCAGGAGGAGGGGAGGCATAAGAAATTAAGTTTAATCTTAGGTTTTTTTTTTTAGGAAGGGCCTGGGGAGTGGTCCACGTTGGAGGCAGAGACATTGATGAAAGATGATGAGATCTGTGGAACTAAAAACCCAACTCCTCATAAGATTTTGCTTGATACAAGATTTGAGTTGCCTTTTGGTGAGTTTATTGGACTGGACTTTGAAAACCATTTAATACTTTTTACCATATGGTTAACAATTGTTTGCTAGTCTCATTACTGTATTTTTTGTTTTGTCAGCTATCTCCTTTGAGGGCATTTTGTCTTCTGCCCTAGTCCCTATAACACTACCCTAGGAATGGTGCAAACTGTAGAATGGTACTCAGTAAAGAATCCACACTAAGTACATTCTCTTCAAGTCATTAGGTTTCTCTATTTTAATAACTTAGGAAATGCTTGTTAGAGAACATCAGTAATTTGTTCTTTTAATAATTTAACATTCATTGGCTTAAAGTGAATATATACCTTGTGATTTGTCAATTTAAATATTGAAATAGCATTGATAAATAGAAAAGTATTTGAAAATAATTTTTAAGTCAGAAAGACACATGCCATATGATTTCACTCATATGTGGAATTTAAGAAACAAAATAGATGAACAGAGGGGAAGTAAAGGAAAAATAAGATTAAAAACAGAGAGGGAGGCAAACCATAAGAGACTTCACTTTAGGAAACAAACTGAAGGTTGCTGGAGAGATAGTGGGTGGGGAGATGGAGTAGTTGGTTGATGGGTATTAAGGAGGGCCCTTGGTGTAATGAGCACTGGGTGTTATATGCAACTGAAGAATCACTAAATTCTACCCCTAAACTAGTAATACACTAAATATTAACTAAATTGAATTTAAATAAAAAATTTAAAACAATTTTTAGAAAACAAAAAAATACATATTCATGGCAAAAATAGGCTTTTTAAAAAATATATAGTTTTGCTGGAGAGTAGATCTGTGGAGCTCCACACACTGTTAGTCCATCCCTCATTTTATTTCATTTATTTATTTTTATCTTTTTAAATTTATTTATTTATTTTTTATTCATTTGTTCGTTCATGAGAGAGACACACAGAGAGGCAGAGACACAGACAGAGGGAGAAGCAGGCCCCATGCAGGAAGCCTGACATGGGACTTGATCCCAGGTCTCCAGGATCACACCCTGGGCTGAAGGTGGTGCTAAACCGCTGAGCCACGCGGGCTGCCCTATTTGTTTTTATTTTAAGTAGGCTTCACGTCCATCATGGGGCTTGAATTCACAACCCTAGGATCAAGAGTTGCATGTTTCATCAACTGAGTCAACCAGGCGTCCCCTCCCCACCATTGCGTTTTAAACAGATATTCCTCCCTTACAATACTGTATCACTTATATTGTGTCATTGGTGGCAGTATACATTTCTATCTAGATTTTGAGTTTCATGAGGGCTCTTGTGTACCTTATTTTGGTATCTTTAGAGTTTGCTTGGCATGTAATAGTGTCTGATAAATGTTTTTTTTTAATTTTTTAAAATTTTGAAATTTATTTTTAAAAAATATTTATTCATGAGAGAGAGAGGCAGAGACATAAGCATGGCTCTCTGCCTCTCTCTAATCTCATGAATAAATAAATAAGTTTTAAAAAATAATAAAAAATAAAGAGTACTTCTAAGGGAAGAATTTTAGCTTACAGTGTGCCATATTTTGGCAATGAAATTTTCTTTCGGATAATTCAGAAGCCCATGAAATATTTTATTCAGTTATATACCATTAACTTTTAAAAGTAGTAATGTGATTTTTTAAAAAGATTTTATTTATTTATTCATGAGAGACACAGAAAGAGAGTGGCAGAGACATAGGCAGAGGGAGAAGCAAGCTCCATGATTTGAGCCCGATGTGGGATTCAATCATGGAACTCCAGGATCATGCCCTGAGCCGAAGGCGGACACTTAACCACTGAGCCACCCAGGCGTCCCGTGATTTTTTTATGTTCAAAGTTTAGAAAATACAGGTATGCAAAAAAAAAAAAATTAAAATATGATCTCACGAACTGGAGATTTTTTTTAATGTGTTGATATGTTTCTTTTATTTAAAATTTTTATTTATTTATTTATTTATTTATTTATTTATTTATTTATTTGAGATAGGGGAAGAGGGGCAGAGAGAGAGGCAAAGAGAATCTCAAGCAGACTCCACGTGAGTGCTTGATTTCATGACCCTGAGATCATGAGCTGAGCTGAAACCAAGAGTTATTAGATGCTTAACCAACTGTACCATTGAGGCACCCCTGATATGTTTCTTTTTTTTTTTTTTGTAAATTTATTTATTTATTTATTTATGATAGTCACACAGAGAGATAGAGAGGCAGAGACATAGGCAGAGGGAGAAGCAGGCTCCATGCACCGGGAGCCCGACGTGGGATTCGATCCCGGGTCTCCAGGATTGCGCCCTGGGTCAAAGGCAGGCGCCAAACTGCTGCGCCACCCAGGGATCCCTGTTTCTTTTAGTTTTTTTATGCACTTAATAGTTATTCCTATAAAATAGTACAAATATATTTTAACTTGTTTTACTCACTAATTACATAGTTAAATAATTGCTCACAAAATAAATGGTATTCCTCTATAATATTTTTGGTGGTTGATTTTATTTTATTGTATGAACTTATAATAATAATAACATTTGTTGGCTGATTATTGTGTGCCAGTATGTATATCACTAAACATTTTTACATAGTATCTCATATAATCTTCATTTCAATCCTTCGAGGTAGATCCAACTGTGATCTGATTAGAGATGAGGAAATGGAGGCACAGAGTATTTAAATCTTTTGCCCAAGATCACATAGCTAGTAAGTAGGAAAGTGAGGATTTAAACTTGAATGATTTGGCTTTGGAAACTCGGCTTTTAATTTAAACTATAATACATTTAACCATTTTTCTTGCTGTGGATTTTGATTGTTCAAAGTTTGTACTGTTATAAATAGTACTGCAAGCGGAACCTGGGTGGCTCAGTCAGTTAAAGGTCTGCCTTCATTGGCCTTAGTCTCAGGTCATGATTCTAGGGTCCTGGGATGGAGCCCTGCCACCAGCTCCCTGCTCAGCTGGTACTCAGCCCAACCTTGTGTGTGGGCTTACATGCTCTCTCTTCTCAAAGAAAATCTTTTTGAAAAAAATAGTACTACAAGAAACATCCTTGTAGCTCCACATTTAAAACAAAAAAACTATTTTGAGGATTGAGGCAATAATACATGCACAATGGTCTTTTTTTTTTTTTTTAAAGTTACCCATTGGGGAAAAAAATTAAGTCTTCCTCACAAATATGTTCTCTTCCCTATAGACTACAATGATTAGTACTTTCTTGTGTATCTTTTCAATTTTTGAATATATAAGTACATGTATAAATTCTAACCTTTAAATTTATTTATTTATTTACTTTTAAAAAGATTTTATTTATTTGAGAGTGAAAGAAGGCGTAGCGTGCAAGCACATGAGCAGGGGGAAGGGGCAGAACAGAGAGGGAGAAGCAGACTCCCCACTGAGCAGGGAGCCATGACCTGAGCCAGTGCTTAACTGATTGAGCCACCAGGTGCCCCAACCTCTTTTTAAAATACAGTAGTAGGATATTTGTTGTATCTTGCTATTTTCCATTTAATAATGTACCTTAAGAATCATTCTACATCAGAACATATAAACAGCCCTTCTTCCCCTGTCATTTCTTTTTAATAAGTGCGGAATACACATTTTGTGGATGAGGTAGAGTTATATAAATTAGGTTATCCATTACTTGAAGGTTTTATTACAAAACATGAAGATATTGGCACCAGTTGGTGAAAAGCTGTTTGAGGGGAAGGAAGTGAAATTTTGGATTAGAGGGACAAAGGAGAGGGCCTGAGTTTGATTTCTTCATGTGGACTACTGGAAAGTCTGTTTAAATGTCTCCAAAGTTGATCTGATCCATATATTGCCTCATTGTTGTGTTAGGTATATGGAATATACTTGATTTTTTTTTTTACTTGATGTTTTTAGAAGTGGATTTTTTTTTAATTTACAGTCAGTCTTAAACATATAGAAATGAGGATGTACTATAATTTTTTTCTTGACTCCTTTTTTTTATTGTAGTAAAATCACATAACATAAAATTAACTGTCTTAATCATTAAGTGTAATGTTCACTGATATTAACACATTTATGATGTGCAACCATCACTGCCATTCACATCCATAACTCTTGATCATGTAAAACTGGAACTCTATACCCATTAAACTAACTTCCCCATTCTCCCTCTCCCTGTTCCAACCCCTGGCAATCACCATTTTACATTCTGTCTCAGATTTTAACTGCTCTAAGTATTTCTTGTAGGTGGGATCATATAGTACTTGTCCTTTTGTAACAGGTTTATTTCATTTAGTGTAAGGTCCTCAAGGTTCATTCATGTTGTGGCATGTGTCCTTTTCAAGGCCGAGTCATATTCCATTGTATGTATATACTACATTTTGCTTATCCTTTCATTCATTGATGGGTAATTGAGTTGCTCCCACATTTTAGCTATTGTGAATAATGCTGCTATGAACTTAGGTCTACAAGTAACTCTCTGAGATTCTGCTTTCAATTCTTTTGTGTATATACTGAGAAATGGAATTGCTAGATCATATAGTAATTCCATTTTTAATTTATTAAAGATTTGCCATGCTGTTTTTCATAGTGGCTTATCATTTTATACTGCCATTAACCATATACAAGGGTTCCAGTTTCTCCACATCCTCATCAACATTTGTTATTTTCTCTTTTTTTAGAGTGGCCATCCTAATGGGTGTAAAGTGGAAACTCATTGTAGTCTTGATTTGTATTTTCCCTAATAATCAGTGATATTGAGCATCTTTTCATGTGCTTATTGGCTATCTGCTTTTTTTTTTTAAAGATTTTATTTATTCATTCATAAGAGAGAGAGAGAGAGAGAGAGAGGCAGAGGCAGAGACACAGGTAGAAGGAGAAGCAGGCTCCATGCAAGGAACCCAGGTGGGACTCGATCCCCGGGTCTCCAGGATCATGCCCTGGGCTGAAGGCGGTGCTAAATCGCAGAGCCACGTGGGCTGCCCCTTATTGGCTATTCGTATATCTTCTTTGGAGAAATGTCCATCAAGTCCTTTGTGATTTTTGAATTGAGTTTTTGTTTTATTGTCTTTAAGTTTTAGGAGTTCTCTATCATTGTAGGCATTAATTCCTTATCAGATACATTTTGTAAATATTTTCTCCCATTCTATGGGTTACTTTTTTGTTCTGTTGATACTATCTTTTGATGCAGAAAATTTTATTTTCATGAAGTCTTGTTTGTCCGTTTTTTCTGTCGTGACCTGTACCTTTGGTGTTCTAAGAGATCAGTGCCAAATCCATAGTTATGCAGCTTTTGCCCTATGTTTTCTTTTAAGAATTTTATTAGTTTTAGGTATTAAATTTAGGTCTTGATTGATTTTGAATTAATCTTTCTCTGTGGTATTAGGTAGAAGTCCAACTTCATTCTTTTGCATCTGGATATCCAGTTTTCCTAACACCATTTGTTGAAAGACATTTTGCCCTATTAAGTGTTCTTGGTACCCTTGTCAAAAAAATCATTTGACTGTGTATGTGAAGGTTTATTTCTGGGCTGTTTTATTGCTTTGTATGTCTGTGCCATGCTCTTTTGATTACTGTAGTTTTGTAGTAAGTTTTGAAATTAGGAAATTTGGGTCCTCCAGTTTTGTTCTTCCTTTTCAAGATTGTTTTAGCTATTTGGGGTTACTGAGATTCTGTATGAATTTTAGAATGAGGTTTTCTTTCCTTTCTTTTTTCTTTTTCCAGTTAATGGGTAACTTTATTTTCTTTTTCTTTTCAAAATTTTATTTTAAATTCTGGTTAGTTAACATACACTGCAATATTGGTTTCAGGAGTAGAATTCAGTGATTCACCAGTTACTTAAAACACCCAGTGCTCCTCATAACAAGTGCCCTCCTAATGTACATCATCTGTCTGGCCCATCCCCCACCCACATCCTTCCATCAACCCTCAGTTCTCTGTCTTTCAGAGTCTCTTATGGTTTGTTCCCTTCTTTCTTTTATTTTTTCTTCGCATATGTTCATCTTAAATTCCACAGATGAGTGAAATCATATGGTATTTGTCTTTCTCTAACTTATTTTGCTTAGCATAATATACTCTAGCTCTATCCACATTGTAGCAAATGGCAAGATTTCATTATTTTTTATTATTTTAAAAATTATTTTTATTTTTGAAGGAGAGAGAGCCTATATATGCATGTGAGTTGGGTGGGTGGGTGGGGGGTAAGAGGCAGAGGGAGAGAGAATCATTTTATTTTATTTAATTTTAATTTTAATTTTAATTTAATTTAATTTAATTTAATTTAATTTAATTTAATTTAATTTAATTTAATTTAATTTTATTTTATTTTATTTTATTTGGGAGAGAGAATCTTAAGCAGACTCCATGCCTAGCTCAGAGCCCAACCCTGAGATCATGACCTGAGCCGAAATCAAGAGGTGGATGCTTAACTGACTGAGCCACCCAGGTGCCCCAAGATTATATTCTGTTTGATGGCTGGGTAATATTCCATTGTATAATGGAATATTCCATTATACACACACACACACACACACACACCACATCTTCTTTTTCCATAGAATGAGACTTTCTATGTCTGCAAAAAAACAGATTTTGATAGCGATGCATTATGTAAATCATACTGGGTAGTGTTGACATTTTAACAATATTAAGTGTCCTAATCCAATGGAAATAATAGTACATTACTTTGTTTTCTGTGAAGATTCAAGATCATGTTTATGACAAGAACCAAGTCACCAGTAAAATTAGTCCGTCACTTTCTAATTTTGATTATTTGATGGAAAAAGGATTATTGACCCACAAACAAATTAAAAATCTAGTAACATAGTTTCTTCTTTTTTGTGGTAGATATCCCAGAGGAGGAAGCCAGATATTGGACCTACAAATTGGAACAAATCAATGTCTTGGAAGCTGAGAGTGAGGTAGGAATTGCCTTATTTGTGATACAGAGAGATGGAGAAAATTTCTTTCTAGGATACTTTATAGTTTGTCAAGGGAGGGGCCCAGAAACATGTTGAAAAATGAAAGAATTTAAAAAAAAATGAAAAATGAAAGAATTTAAGCTACATTAAAGAACAAATGGAGCTGGAAGGAATCATTCATTAGAAAGATCTAACTCCCACTTTTTCTATTTTTCTCATTGTCCCCATAAATGGCTGAGTTGGCTTTTAGTCTGGCTCTAGTAAGTGAGAACTTATACTAGGGAAACTGTCCTCTTGTTACACAGATGGCATTTCTTCCAATTCCCAGATTTTTGGATAAACAATTGACCCTTGAACAACAGGAATTTGAACTGTGTGGGTGCACTTACAGATTTTTTTTCTGATAAATGCAGTATAATTCTGTAAATGTATTTACTCTTATGATTTTAACTTTTTTTCTCTAGCTTATAAGAATATAGTATGTAATACATAAAACATACAAAATATGCTTTAATTGACTGTTTATTGGTAAAGCTTCCCGTCCACAGTAGGCTTTTAGTAGCTAGGTTTTTGGGGGATCAGAAGTTAATATGTGAACTTTTGCCTGTGTGGAAGGTCAATGCCACTAGTCCCCCATTGTTCAAGAGTCAACTGTAGGGGATCCCTGGGTGGCGCAGCGGTTTGGCACCTGCCTTTGGCCCAGGGTGCGATCCTGGAGACCCGGGATCGAATCCCACATCGGGCTCCCAGTGCATGGAGCCTGCTTCTCCCTCTGCCTGTGTCTCTGCCTCTCTCTCTTTCTCTCTCTCTCTCTCTGTGACTATCATAAATAAATTAAAAAAAAAAGAGTCAACTGTATATTGTTATTTGTATGTTCTTTTTAGGGATGCTTGGGCTATTAAATGCTTGGTCCTATCTTATCTCCAGAGATAAATCTGGTGCACAGTAGGGAACTCAGTCTGAGCCATCAGCAATGGGGAATGTTTTTGTTACTGGTGGTGGAGGGAAAAGATCAGATTTTCATTTTTGGACATGTTGGGCTGTTACAAAATTGGTCTGATTATAAGGTAGAATTTGGAGTGCCAGCAAATATTTCAATGGAAATGTCTGATAAGCAACTTCGTTAAAGAATATGAAGGTCAGGATTAGATAGGGTGAGGAGCTATAGGCATAGAGTTTGGATACATGAACATAAGTGCATTTGGAGTCAGCAAATACATTTTCTTTCTTTTTTTTTTTTTTAGTGGTGTATCACCATGAATTATGGATTTTGATATCATTGATTTGTTTTTAATCTGTTGCAGTCATTGTTCTTTTTGATACTAAAATCATCTCATCTTTGGTTAGTGGGATATTCAAGTTGTATTCTTTTTTTTTTTAAAGATATTATTTATTTATTCATGAGAAACACAGAGAGAGGCAGACACAGGCAGAGGGAGAAGGAGAAGCAGGCTCCCTGTGGGGAGCCTGATGTGGGACTAGATCCCAGGACCCTGAGATCACGCCGACCCAAAGGCAGACACTCAGCCGCTGAGCCACCCAGGCATCCCTCAAGTTGGATTCTTTGTGCTTTTTTTTCCTGTTTTTATCATGTAAAAATTTTAAGGGGATATAAAAATAGAGGGAATAATAAAATGAAACTTGTACACACTCCTAAGATTCAGTAATTATCAAGATTTTGTCACATTTGGCTGCAAAATCATTTAAAAAACACAATGTAGAATCTTATCTTTTTATTCTCTGATGTGTATATAGCAGTTCCCATACACAGGAACCCCTTGGGTCAGACGCACTAAATTAAGACTAGCTTAGGGATCTCCCACTTGATACAGTTGAATTGTACCACCATTTATTACTTTTCTTACTCATGGGCAATTAAATTTCACTAGTACAAATGTATGCTGCAGTGAACATTTTTGAGTCTATTTTTCCATGTTTATGTATGAAAGATTCTTTGGGTATATACCCAGGAAGTAGAATTGCTTGGTTGTGGGGTATGCCCTGTTCAGTCATACTAGATATTGTAAATTTTTCTCCAAAATAACTCTACCAATTTATATTCCATTTTCCTGCTTCTCTGTATACTTACTGATACTTGATATTACCAGATTAAAAATTTTTGCTAATTTAATAAGTTTAAACCATTGTTGTTTTAATCTGTTTTTCTGTTTATTGATAACATTCATTCATTCATTTATTTGACAAATTACTTACCAAACACTAAATACCAGGCATTGTTTTATGTGCTTGATAAACATCAAAGGTTAAACAAAGAGCCCTGTTCTCATAGATCATATAGGAGGAGGCAGACAATAAGTAGGATCGTAATAAATATAGTAAGTGTTAAAGTTTGAGAAGTGCTATGGGGGGAAACCTGTTTTCTCCAGGTAGTTTTGCATTTTTTTTTGTTAGATATTCATTCCTAATCATGGTATTCTAAAAAAATTACATTTTCTAATAGTTCATTGTTGTTATAAGGCAAAGCTTTGTTGCTCATTTTTAGTATTGATCTTATTCAGCAATTTAAAAAATTTAATTACAGTATAATTTTAATTACAGCATTATATTAGTTTTAAGTGTACAATATAGTGATTGAACAGTTTTTGTATTACTCAGTGCTCATCACGATAAGTGTACTCTTAATCCCCTTCATCCTAGTTTATCTCCCCTACCTCTGATAACTATCAGTTTGTTCTCTATGTTTAAGAATCTGGTTTTTGGTTTGTCTCTTTTTTTATTGTTGTTCATTTGTTTCTTAAATTCCACATATGAGTGAAGTTGTATGATATCTGTCTTTTACTGACTTATTTCACTTATTAATATATTCTTTAGATCCATCCATGTTGTTGCAAGTGGCAAGATTTCATTATTTTCTGTGGCTGATTAATATCCCATTGTGTATATATACCACATCTTCTTTTCCCATTCATCTATCCATGGACACTTGGGTTACTTCCGTAATTTGACTATTGTAAATAATGCTACTTTAAACATAGGGCTACATACATCCTTTCAAATTAGTGTTTTTATACATTTGGGTAAATATCTAATAGTGGAATTACTGGATCATGTGGTAGTTCTATTTTTAACTTTTTGGGAACCTCTATACTGTTTTCCACAATGGTTACACCAGTTTACATTCCCACCAGCAGTGGGATCTGTCTTTTATTCCTTATTGGAATTAGTAATAGCAGTATCTACCTCTGATACTTGTATCATAGTTTATTGCTTATAAAGTACTTCACATATAAACGTGTATTTACATATAAAAAGTGTTTTGTGTTTTGGATTCAACTACCTGTAGTGCCCTGTACCATTAATACTCCTATGTAAGCTGCCATAAACTTTTGTCGGGATTATTGCAGTAATTAGTCTTTCCCTCTTGTTCCCTATAGTTTATCTCACACAGCAGTAGGACTTTTTTTTTGGTATATATTTTTTTATTGGAGTTCAACTTGCCAAAATATAGCATAACAGTGCTCATCCAGTCAAGTGTCCCCCTCAGTGCCTGTCACCCAGTAACCCCATCCCCCCGCCCACCTCCCTTTCTACCACCCCTTGTTTGTTTCCCATTGTTAGGAGTCTCTCATGTTCTGTCACCCTCTCTGATATTTCCCACTCATTTTCTCTCCTTTCCCCTTTAATCCCTTTCACTTTTTATATTCTCCAAATGAATGAGACCATATAATGTTTTTCCTCTCCGATTGACTTACTTCACTCAGCATAATACCCTCCAGTTCCATCCACGTTGAAGCAAATGGTGGGTATTTGTCATTTCTTTTTTATTTATTTATTTTTTTTATTTATGATAGTCACACAGAGAGAGAGAGAGAGAGAGAGAGGCAGAGACACAGGCAGAGGGAGAAGCAGGCTCCATGCACCGGGAGCCCGACGTGGGATTCGATCCCGGGTCTCCAGGATTGCGCCCTGGGCCAAAGGCAGGCGCCAAACCGCTGCACCACCCAGGGATCCCGTATTTGTCATTTCTAATGGCTGAGTAATATTCCATTGTATACATAAACCACATCTTCTTTATCCATTCATCTTTCGATGGACACTGAGGCACCTTCCACAGTTTGGCTATTGTGGACATTGAGCAGAAGGACTTTTAAAGTGTAGTCAAGTCATATCTCTCTTGGATTTAAAAGCATAAATGGCTTCCTTTGGGGTGCCTGGATTCCTCAGTCAGTTGGGCAGTTGGATGTCTGCCTTTGGTTCGGCTCATGATCTCAGGGTCTTGGGATCCACCGCATTGGGCTTCCTGCTCAATGGGGAGTCTGCTTCTCCCTTTCCCTCTCCCTCTGTGGCTCTTCCTGCTTGTGCTCTCTCTGTCAAATAAATAAAACTTTTAAAAAATTATAAATGACTTCCCAATACACTAGAATAAAGTCCAGACTCCTTACCATGACCTCTGTCAAGGCCTTTGTGTATAATGGGGTATTCAAGAGGTATCTGTTGAATGAGTGGCTCATTCATTGGCAGTGTTAGAGTGCTCTGTCTTACCTAGTACATCAGAGTGTAGTAATAAGTGACAGAGTCAGGATGAGAACTCCAGATCTCATGTTTACAAATTGCTGGACCAAATTATATTTTTTGAATCCTCCAATAGGCTCTGAATCAAACTATTTTTCAGACTGTATACCTGTGTTAACTTTTTCTTTCTTTTTTTCCTTTTATTTATTTATTCATGAAAGACACACAGAGAGAGGCAGAGATATAGGCAGAGGGAGAAGCAGGCTTCCTGCAAGGAGCCCAGTGTGGGACTGGATCCTGGATCCTGGGACCATGCCCTGAGCCAAAGGCAGACGCTCAACCGCTGAACCACCCAGACATCCCAAGCCACCCAGGCGCCCCTGTTGTTGTTGTTCTTTTTTAAATTTATTCATGAGAGAGACACAGAGAGAGGCAGAGACATAGGCTGAGGGAGATGCAGGCTCCCTGTGGGGAGCTCCATATAGGACTCAATCCCAGAACCTTGGGATCATGACCGGAGCCAAAGGCAGATGCTCAACCACTGAGCCATTCAGGCACCCCTGTGTTAACTTGTTTACCTGCTCATCCTTAAGACTTGCATTTAGTTCTGATCTCTCTTTTTTTTTTTAAGATTTTTTAAAAATTTATTTATTCATGAGAAACACACACAGAGAGAGAGAGAGAGAGGCAGAGACACAGGCAGAGGGAGAAGCCGGCTCCACGCAAGGAGCCCGACGTGGGACTCCATCCCCGGTCTCCAGGATCACACCCTGGACTGCAGGCGGCGCTAAACCACTGCACCACCGGGGCTGCCCAGTTCTGGTCTCTTTTATAGAGCTTTTTTTTTTTTTTTTTAAATGGCTTCAATAATCTGTTTTTATGGTTGTGATGGTGGTGTTGGGTTGGGGAGACTAGAGTATAAGTTGGAAGAGGACTCTAGTAGGTTTTAGTTATTGTGTTACGTGTTTAAGTCATTTCCCTTCCCACATGACCTTGTGAGAGAAGTGCTATTACATTTTTAAAGATGAGAAAACTCACTTTTAGAGAGATTTTCAGTTCCATCACCCAAATGGAGAAATTTATACAAGATCCATAAGAAAACTCAGAGGACTGAGCTTCAAGCTTCCTAAGGCTCCTCTAAGCCTTCTACAGCTGCCTGGCAGAGCTGGTACATACCCAGGTGCCCTTGGTTGGAACAATCTCTGCTATCCTGCTTTAGCCTGTTGCATTAGGCAAAGACCACATTTCATAGTCTGGCCTCTATGTCAGGGCCACGTAGGTGAATGAGCAGGATGATCTGTTTCTGTTCAGTAAAAATTTAACTCTAGTCAAAAGCTAAACCTTTTACATATTGCTGTGATCCCCCGCCCCCACCCCCACTTGGACCTCTTATCTGTATTTTTTTTTCTTTCTCCTTTCTGCTTCTAGTATTCTATTCAAGAAGAAAGCCAGAGGAAGCCATTGCCCACTGCTGCCGCCCAGTGTTGTAAGTGAGAAACTTGTCTCTGAATGTCCTTAATCACAGCTTTCTTTTTCTTTTCTTTCTTTTTTTTTTTCTTTAATCACAGCTTTCTGTCAGTTCTCCAAACAGGACTTTTTTGGAGTTGGGGAGGTTGGAGATGTAAATAGAAGATATTCTGGAAGCACACCTATTCAGGTTTATATCTCCAGTGGTTATCTGACCATAGCTTTAGAAGAGTCCTTTTGATTTTGTGTGGCTGTAGGCAGGGCAATGATGCTCATCTTTTATCTCCATTTGCAAGCTGTTACCCATGGAGGAATGATTTTTCCCCCATTTTTTTTATTTTCCCCCCATTTTATCCCCTTTACCTGTTACTGTTCTTTAAAGCTCAGTTTAAATGTCACTATAATGTCATCCCTCTTGGGAAGTCTTCTTTCTGTTTCCTCCTTCCCCCAGGTCTAGCTTAGGTGTCTTTCTTCTGCTTCCATAGTATCCTATACATACATTCATCATATAACCCCTTATACATTATAATCTATGTATATTTCTTTGACAAGAACACAAAGTTTTTAAAGGCATAGACATTCTTCCATTTTATTTCTAGCGTCTTTCTCAGTATCTGATACATAGTAATGTAAGCCTCAATGAAGTTTGATAAATGATTGAGAGAACTTGTCATTTCTCTTGAAATTAATTTATCCAGACTTCAAAAATTCATTCTTGAAAGGAGCTGTGTATTGTTGGTATATTTCTACCTTCTCAGTTTCTCTCAAAATAGTCTGAGGTGACACTAACGAATTGACTTGGTATCTGTTGTCTTTACTTTTTCAACCTCTGGGAGTGTGTGTATGTTTTTCTTTTGTGTTACTATAGTTTTTCTGAACCAGATGCAAAACTCTTAACAACTGCTATTTGAAAGTGGTAGTTGTAGTTATTGTAGTAATACTGGTAAAAATAAGAGCCATAGTAACTAACATATCTTGGGGCCAGATGCTATCAGAACTAAAATTATGTACTGACTTATTTAATCTTCACAATAACCCTAAGACAGTTTTTACTGTTGTCCCATTTTTCGGATGAGGAAACTGAGCCATAAAGATATGGAGTAATTTGCCACAAATCATATAGGTAGTAGATAGTGGAGTAAATATCCTAACACAGACAACTTGATTCCACATCCTATGCTTGCAACCATTATAACCTTCATAGTGAAAGGAAAACCTCCATTCATGGTTTGTAAATCCCATCGGTTGTCTTCCATTTTATAGGCTACTTTCTTTTTTTTTTTTTAATATTTTTTAAAGCTTTTATTTATTTATTCATGAGAGGCACAGAGAGAGAGAGAGAGAGAGAGAGAGAGAGAGAGAGGCAGAGACACAGGTAGAGGGAGAAGCAGGCTCCATGCACCAGGAGCCCGACGTGGGATTCGATCCCGGGTCTCCAGGATCGCGCCCTGGGCCAAAGGCAGGCGCCAAACCGCTGTGCCACCCAGGGATCCCTATAGGCTACTTTCTTGATAAAAGTAAGACCAATGGCAGACTTCAACATATTTTCTTTCTTTAAAGAAAATTTTCTATTTTTTCTGACTTATTGCTCACTTTTTTTCCCCCTTTCCTTATAGATAGAACTTAGAACTTATCAAACATTTAGGGTCATAGGAGACCAGAAGAATCTGAATTGAAAACCAGGTTATAAATTAAAATCTATAGGTCCTTTCCAGAATTCATTGAAATGAGCTAATTTTGACCTTTTAAATACTATCTATCTATCTATCTATCTATCTATCTATCTATCTATCTATCTATTTTTGGGAGAGAGAGAGAGTGAGAACAAGACACAGAGGAAGAGAGAAAGAATCTTAAGCAGACTTCACAACCAGTCCAGAGCTGGTTGAGACACGGGCGGGCCTCAATCTCACAACCCTGAGATCATCACGAGCTAAAATCAAGAGTTAGACGCTTAACTGATTGAGCCGCTCAGGTAACCCTGACCTTTTTAATCTTTTGAATCTTTTTCCAGGACTGCTAATGAGATAAATGGAATGATTGAGATTTCACTTCCCATTCTGTCCTGCACCCATATGATGAAGTGCAGTTGAAGTGATTAGAGATCAAATGCCAAGAGAGCTGGAGGAAATAAAAGGCCATAAATAATCAACAAGTTTATTGATTTCCATAAGCTTGTGGGCTAATTTATTTTTCTATGAATGGTCTGTTCCTGTCTTTTGACTATTCCCTCATATATTTTTATTTTGAAAATTTACAACAGAAAAGTTGAAAGTACAATATAATGAGCACCCATTTACCCTTTAGTGGTAAACATTTTGCCACATTTAGTCTGACTTGTTCCCACCTCTCTCTCATGTCTTTATCTCTGTCTCGGTATATACATACACAAAACTATATGTATTTTCTGAATCATATAATCTTCAGACTTCATGACACATCACTCCTCTCTCTTTGGAGGTAGGACAGTCTATGTAACCAAAATACCATGATCAGACTCCAGAAGTTTAACACTGACCCAATAATCTATCTAATATTTAGTGCATATTAGGAATTCCTTAGTTGTCCCCCAAATATTTTTTTAAAAGATTTTATTTATTTATTCATGAGAGACAGAGAGAGAGGCAGAGACATAGGCAGAGAGGAGAATCCAGTTCCTCACAGGGAGCTCGATGTGGGATTCGATCCCTGGACCCTCAGGATCATGCCCTGAGCCAAAGGCAGATGCTCAACCGCTGAGCCACCCAGGTGTCCCAGTCCCCCAAATATTTTTATAGCTATTTTTCCCCCCACTGTATGATCCAGTCAGGAATTGCACACTTTATTTGGTTGTCCTGATTCTTTAGTATCCTTTAATAATCATACAAAAGAATCCTTGCCGTTTTGGACATTTATGACATTGGTAAATAATATTTTAAACTTACATTAAAATTATAGCTATTTTTTTCCAATTAGAAAATCATTCAATTCGGTAGTCAAAGTTTTGGAAGTTTATTAAAGTAAGTAATCAAGAGGCAGATAAAGATTTGTGCATAAAGATGTTGATTACAGATTATTTAAATAACAAAGTTTGAAAATCACTATAGTTAACATTAAATGATTATAATCATAAGATTGGGCATTATGCATTTGTTTAAAATTATGCTTTGAATAATAAAAGGGACATTTTTATGAAACTTTAAGTTAAAGGGGCACCTGCGTGGCTCTGTTGGTTAAGCATCTGACTCTTGGTGTCAGCTCAGGTCATGATTTCGGGGTAGTGAGATCGAGCCTGCTTGGGATTCTCTCTCTGTGCTCTTCCTCACTCACACATTCATATTCTCTCTCTCTCTCTCAAAAGAAAAATAAAACCTTAAAAAAAAACCCTTTAAGTTAAAAAGTATATAAAACTAGGGTGCCTGGCTGGCTTAGGCAATGGAACCTGTGACTCTTGATCTTGGGGTTGTGAGTTCAAGCCTCATGCTGATGTAGAAATTACTGAAAAATAAAATCTGTAAAAAAGTATATAAAACTGTGTGTGTGTGTGTGTGTGTGTGTGTGTGTATAATTTAAAGCTTGTTGCTATGGATTGAATTGCATACCTGCAAAATTCATACCTTGAAGCCCTAGGCCCTGTATGACTGTTGGAGATAGGGCCTTTAAGGAGGTGATAAAGGTTAACTGAGATCATAAGAATGAGGCCCTAATCTGATAGGGCCAGTACCCTTATAAGAGGAAAGGACAACAGACTCTGTGTGAGGACATAGAAGCTGGCTGTCTGCTAGCCAGGAAAAAAAAACCTTCACTAAGAATCAAATTAGCTGGTACCTTGATCTTGGACTTCCCAACTTCCAAACGGTGGGATACAAATTTTTGTTGTGAAAGCCACTCATTCTACACTATTTTGTTATGGTAATCAGAGCAGATTAATAGAGATTTTGGTTCTAAGAGGTGGTATGCTGCAATAAACAAATACCTAAGAATATGGAAGTGGTTTTAGAACTCGGTGATAAGGAAAGCCTGGAAGAATTTCAAGGTGTTTGCTAGAAAAAGCCAAGATAGCTGTGAAGGGATAAGGATGTTGAAGCCATTCTGGAGTAGACTCAGGTGGAAGGAAGGAACAGTTGGTTTGTTGGCAGTCATTGTTACAAAGTGGCAACAAACTTGGCTGAATTGTTTATGAAAGGTAGAATTTGTACTAAGCAAAGTATTGAAGATGTGGCTTGGGTCTTCCTTACTGCTTATAGTAAAATGACAGAGGAGAGAATTGAATTGAAGAAGGAATTGTTAAGTAAAAACAAACAAATAAACAAACAAAAAACCCAAAAAACCCAGAATTTAGAGATTTGGAATATTCTTAGCCTATTTGTATTGATTAAAAAAAAAAGTTTGTTTTGAAGAGAACAGTAAAGAGAACATGGCTTTGGTTTATGGAGTTAACTAGCAAACTCAGCAGAATACAGGAGTAGAGATGGGATTATACCAACAGAGACACTGCTAGTTTGAACTAACAGGGACAAAAAAAGAGGGAGGCAATGAAAGGTTGGATTCTACAGGATCAGACCATAACATTATTTGACTATGAACATGTGCCTTTCTTGAAGAAAGAGAAGAATGACCTGGAATGTGACTTAGAGAATATCAGAGCTGCCACTCTGAGCAAAGGCCTAGTGGGCAATGCTATGTTTCCTTCTCTTTTCAGAGGGAGGCCACTGAAGAGAGCCACGGGGTCAGGGCCATCCTGTAAGGGATGAGCTGCTACTCCAGTGGGCCTGAAAGGTGGGACATCAACCAAAGAGACTTATTCTACTGCCTTGAGATCTAGTATGATTTGCTTTGCTAGGTTTTGAACTTGCTTAAGACCTGTTACCTCTTCCTTCTTTCCTTTTTCTTTCTTGTAGAATGGGAATCTCTCTCTTATGCAGGTCCCACCATTTGTATTTTGAGAGCAAATAACTTGTTTGGTTTCACAGGTTCACAGCTGGAGAGGAATTTTGCCTCACGATGAATCATAACTGGAGTCTCACTCATATCTAGTAG